TTTGCCCTTTGCTTCCCTTCCTTGGCATGTCCTCACCCAGCAGGAGTTGGCGGCTGAGCAGAGAAGTGAACTTCAGCCTGGCCTTTCAGCACCCAATGGGTGTCACAATCCAGTGATGGTGGAGAGAGGCAGACCTGCTGGCCGTTTCTTCCGGCCCTGCATCAAGATTGTGTGTGTGTGTGTCGGTGTGTGTGTGTGAGTGTGTCTGTGTGTGCGCACGCTCTGCAAGGATTCCTGTGGTTACACTCATCGCTGGGGATCTGCATAAAAGCCCCACTAGATGCTTTCTGTTCCTTTGTAATATTTAAAACGTCATGGAGATTAAAGCATCTACCTGGACGTTCGGATATTTCGATTTCCCCACCTAGCCTCTGTGGGCAGATGGGTGATCATTCTTATCTTCTGGCTCGGTGAGCTGCCCGCCTTTCACTCAGCTGGACAAGGGCGCGCAGGCGTCTGGGGTTCCGCAGGTTGCGCATCTGGCGCCCGGGCCCGCCCGGAGCAGTGCCCGCCTAGGCCTTGGCCCTTGGTTTGTGCTCTCCAGCGTGCTGGGCGCTCTCTCCCCGCGCGGGGGCACCAGAGCCCTCGGAAGTGTCTGGCACTGCGGTGCCTTTTCCCAGTTCCTTTTAAATGACTGCGGAAAAACAGCCTCTCTGAGCCGCAAATGGGAAGACGGATTCACAGACCAGGCTTGCAAATGCCCCACAGCTATCGCAGCCATCATCTAACTGAGCCCAGAGAGCCCTTATGGTTTGTCACCCGGCCCGCCCGGATCGCCTTATTTGTCTCTAGCGAGACCCCGAGGCTTTGGTCCTGCCCGGCTTCTTGGTAGCTGGATGCCTGTCGTGCTCTCGGTAGCGCGGGCGCAGGGCACGCGTTTGCGCACACTCGCGCTCCTAGGAAAACGCACAAGGTACGGCAGGGGAGCAAGGGCTTTGGGTGCCCCGAGTCGGGGTGGGCATCGCGGGGAGTGAGGATACGATCTGGGAAGGGTTGCATCCTGCCAGGTTGACGGGTGAGAGAAAATGACGCGGCGCCACACATCGGACAGGCCAGGGCTGCTGCCGCGCATTTAGGGAACCCAATACGAGTCAGGCGCGCTCCCTTCCCCTCACATGTCTCTATTTCCCGGGAGTGTGATGCCAGAAAACCGCAGGAAAAAGACCCGCTTAGAGAGCTAGAGTTGCGTTTGGAGATTCCCTTCCCTCTACAAAAGCACCATCAGGAAGACCCTCCCAAACCACCAGGGTTCCCAAATCGATGTCTCCGAACGGGGGCGGTCATCCTTGGTTACGGATGCCGAACACGTTTTGGTGTTTACAATATTTATTTATTTTTTAAAGATAGCTCGCTCTCCCTTTTTAGGCAGGGTGGGAAAGGAGAACGCAGCGGGGAGGGAAGACTCCTGGAATAAGAATCAGCGTATTTTTCAGAGCTGAACCGAACCGGGTTTCAACCATTTCAAAAAAGGAGACAGCCTCTACCGCAATTGTCGAAGAGACCGCGGTGTGAATTAGGAACTGGGAGGCGTCGAGCGGCGGAACGGTCCATCTCAGAGGTACCAGGATCTAAATGCGCGCACATACACGCACACACACGCTCACACGGAAACACACCCCCACACCCGCACCCACACCCACACCCACCCACACACACGCACGCACGCGCGCACGCGTCTACACAGCCTGGATGTGTGCGTGTGCGCGTCTGTGCGCGTGTGTGAACTCCCACATGCTGCTGCTGTCTGCTTCTGGCCAGTGGCACCGATGCCTCCCTCCTCCCCGCTCGCCCCCAGATTCCCCTCCCCTCCTTGTTGCTTTTGTCTGGAGGGTATTATGGGTTTGTGTGTGTGTGAGCGTGTGTGTTTTTGGATTTCAGACTAATTTTCTGGAGTTTCTGCCCCTGCTCTGCGTCAGCCCTCACGTCACTTCGCCAGCAGTAGCAGAGGCGGAGGCAACAGCGGCGGCGGCGGTGGCTCCCGGAATTGGGTTGGAGCAGGAGTCTCGCTCGCTCCTTCGCTTGCGCTCTCTGCGCTCAGTGCTCGGCGGCAGGAGGAGCCTGGACCGGGCGCCGCCGGCAGGCGGTAGGCGCCGGAGCCGGGTGAGCAGCGCGGACAGTGCCCTCCGTAGTCTCGGCCCTCACTGTCCCCTCCTTGGGGCGGCTGAGGCGCCTCCCCAGGTGGGACGTGCCGCGCCACCTGCCCGCGCCCCCCGCACCCAGCAGCGGCGGCGGATTCTGCAGCATCATTGGGGCCCCGTCTCCAAACCGTGGCAGCGGCAGTCTCTTCGTCCCCTTTTAAAGGGTTCTCCTGGCCTGTGCCATGGAATCCATTCTCAGGGACCCTTTGCCCTATCTTCCCTCCCTCAACCTCAGACTTGGAAAGAGGCATCAGTGCAATCGAGGGGCAAGTTTATTTCTGGGGTGGGAGCTGGGCACTCATCTTTCCACAGTCTCCTGGCTGGGGTCGGGGTGGGGGTGACGCGAGCCCCAAAGGAGAATGCCTCAATTCGTCGTCTCTGGGGTCCTGCGCTCAGTCTTACCCATGTCTGTTTGTCCTCAGCCCCGAGGTGCGTCTGGGATCTCAGTGCGTGTCTAGCAAGGAGCCTGCGTCCCAGAGAGTCCCCGGAGCACCGCCGGCTGGTGCCCAGCGCGCCGGGCCATGCTGCTGAGGCCACAGCGGAGCTCCTAGCGGCGGTAGCGCCCCCTGTGAGGAGGCCGGAGATGCCTCTGCCACTGTGAACGGTGCTGCCCGCCAGGATCTGCTCAGCCCCGGACCCTCTGGGCTGTGCGGGCCCGCGACCCACACCGAGTAGGGAGAGCAGCGAGCGCGGCAGAGACCGCCCAGCACCGGCAGCGGAGGCCGGCCGGTGCAGCGCAGGGACGCGTACTTAGTCTGACTGGGGCTGGCACAGGCGGCTAGCTATGTCGTCCTGGACGAGGTGGCATGGACCCGCCATGGCACGGCTCTGGGGCTTCTGCTGGCTGGTTGTGGGCTTCTGGAGGGCCGCTCTCGCCTGTCCCACGTCCTGCAAATGCAGCGCCTCTCGGATCTGGTGCAGCGACCCTATTCCTGGCATCATGGCATTTCCGAGGTTGGAGCCTAACACTATAGACCCTGAGAACATCACCGAAATGTGAGTTCCTGGTGTTCTCCTTTCTTTCTTCCCTCCTGGCCCCTGCAGCCCTGGCTGGCCAGGCGAGCCCATCCTGGGCATGAATGTTGTCTCAAGTCTGGGGAGAAGTCAGAGATGAACATGTAGGGCTGGGCCATCTGTCAGTTACCTGTCCGTTTCACTGGCCTGGCGCTGATAACACCGGGAGAAGTGTGACAGTTTAAAATTTAAAGTTTTAAATATACTATATGTGAATAACATACTTGTGGGAAGCCAAACTATATGCACTTTATACTTCAAAGTCTTGCTGGGCATGCTTTAGGCTTTCCACACGCAATAACTTAGTTTTGGACATTTTTGTGTCATAAGATGCAATGTGTATGTTGTGTTAGGAGGAGTTCTAGTAATATTTACTAGAAAGGAGGTTAAGATAATTCACTTTTTAAAATTTGTTGGAGGGGGTTAGAGTTTACCCCCTAACATCTTTTTCTGAGGTTTGGAGTTGGCCCATGTCCCTTTTCATTTTATGCATCGGGGTTTTACTTAGGAGATTGCATCCAGAGATGGCCTTGAACATGATCTGTAAGAGGAGAAGTTCTCAGTGTTGAAAAGCACTTTCTCAAAAGGGAAAATGTGATCGTTGGAAGCTTAAAAGCCTGGTCTGATTTAATTTGGAATTGACTTCTCAGAGATATAATTTTGAGACCATTTGGATGATAAATTTTAATTGTCCACTGAATATTTTCTCAGGACAAGGTTGGATGATAAAGCTGTGTGAAGTCCTCAGATGAATGCCGCCTTTAGCATGGGACCCCTAGGTCCCTGGCAATATTTGAGCTTGTTCTGATCTGATGGAGAAGCAGAATTGTGCATTTGTGTCTCCTCTTTTTATGCCTTGTGACAAATACATTAGCAGGTAGGAGTTCAGCAGTCCTTCCTCCAGCATTCTCCTATCAACTCTACTAGAGGTGTCTGCTCTCCCCAACATTGCCGTTTATTCCATTAACATGAGATTTTATTCATCCACGTAGAGGGGCTGTAAGGCAAAGTTTCTCTAGGTTTCCCTTACGTGTTTGATACTAAGATAGGCAGCCCTGAAAGTAGGGCTTGGGCTGTGGCCTTCCGGTTGGCGAGTGCGCATGCATATTCCCCCCACAGAAAACGCACACCCTGTTTCTGCCAACGTATGACCGAGGTAACCTGTTTTTTTTTCTTCATGTAAGTAAGAGACCTTCCTAGTCTCTGTTTGTTCTACTGGGGATGTTCTTGTTATAAGGCTCAGGCAGAAGGAAGTGACAACAGAACAGAGGGGAAACGTGCTGGCCTAGCAGAGCTGAGATGTGCAGGGAGCAGCCAAATATCAGGCTGGATTCAGGATGCTCGGTTTTCAATCTTTTTTTGTTTGTTTGTTTGCCAGGATAGCAGCAGTCAGGGCCTGAGGTAGGGCCCTGGCCGTGCTGACCCTGGGCTGGCCCTAGACTGGCCCTAGGTTGGGCTGGTCCAAGCTCACCAAGCTGGTCAGAGTGTCTGTAGCCTTTTGTCAGATGTGTCTTTTATATGAGATGGGGTGTCAGTAGTTAGATGGAGAAAGCCATATAGAATTCAGAGCTCTTCGGACTATTTTAAGACCAGGGGGAGTGCCTTTGTACAGTTTGATGTTGTTTTATTGTTGTTTTTAAAATTCTGTCTTAGGCAATAGATATATAAAGAGGGAGAAAATGAGGTAAAGCTAGTCATTTTCACTTTAAATTTTTTCACTTTAATATTTTACAGTCACAATCAGAGAAAAGGACACTAAAACTCTTTAAATTTAAAATGTTATTTTAAATCTTAGTGTCCTTAGCTGCCTGAGATAGATGAAATCAATAGATTGGAGGAGAGCTTTCTTATATTAGTCCTCATAATTGCTGCTGCTGTTGTTTTTATATCTGATGGCAGATTCCTATTTTCAGGCTTTTGAAAATGAATTTTTTGGGTTATATTTACCAAAGCACTTGTCACAGTTACTCATTCAATAATGGCACTGCTTATTGCTACTCTTATTTTTTTACCCTTTGGTTTGAGCATTTGTTGAAATTAAGATCACTGAGAGGTATCAATGCATAAATGTTTCGGATGGGGAATTAGACTGGCCAATAGGAAAAGGTATGCTCCCTGCTCTGTCCCTCTGCTTTGATCGAGCCCAGCCAGTTTGAGCCCCAGGTGTTCTTATCTGTAAAATGTATCAAAATCCTTGTTTAGAAAGCACTTAGCATCATCATTTTGAATTCTGCTGTTTTGATATCAAAATAACATCAGTGGATGAGCTTGTTTCACTCTCACCATCTGTGTTCTTTTTCTTACATATTAATATTTGCTTGAACAGCTTTTCAATTCTTGGCCAGTAGGTACCAGCTACAGTTGGAACCAAATTACACTTTTTTTTTTTAAAAAAAAACTTGTTATTAGTCCCAAGGATATTCCTAAAATAACATGTTTCAAAGTTCTGGTTTAATGGTGCTTAGCTAAACTTACATGTTCCCATAAAAAAGTAGGAATAATATAAGTAAATAAACTGAAGCAACAGTTGACTGTATCATTTAAAAATAGTATATCTTTTAATAACTATCTATTGGGGGAAAATATAACCACTGTGCCTTTTAGAATTCAGATAAAGGTCATGGTAGAACATTTAAAAAAATATATGTATGATTAAAGAAGAGATAAGTTTATTTTTGTTTCTACATGCATATTTTAAGTCAAGCTGACATTTTGTTTGGAGAGTCAGTGTTTGACTTTATTTTCTGAAAAATCTCTCCATCACAGTGTCTGTGTCTCATACTCTTTACTCACTAACATGGTCTACATCTAGCTCTCCATCTCTCTGTCCGTAGATGTGCATTACATTTGTCTATCAGCATACGGCTGAGAAGTGCCCACTTTTGTTATGTGGTTATGGTTATACCAAAGCTATACTAAATTCAGTTTAAAAATAATACCATTGTCACATAGAAGTGGAATTCAAGAGTAAAGCCTGTTGTTGGAATTATGTAACTGGCCATTTAAGTCTCAGTTTTATCAGGTGCCAAAATGCATTGCAAAGGACAAGTTTTGTCTCACATAAGTGGTAAAAGGCATGGATAAAATAGGTCAGGTGTTTTAGTTTTATTGTGGTCAAAAACATATAATGTAAAATTTGCCATCTCAATTATTCCTTACTGTACCATTCAATGCATTTTTATATTGCCTATATTTCATGAGGACCAATGATGACCTTTTTCTCAATTTCTTGTGTGATGGTCTCTGATTTGGGGTTAATATTTGGAGACAAGTGTAATATTTTTCCTCTCAGTACAGCACAAACAGAATTTGCAGCTTCTGCCGCCAGAGCTTCTATGTGCAATTTATTGCTGGCTTGGTTAAGTGACTGTAATGTTATGTCATTAATACATTGATTTTGGCCCTCTCACCTTAGTAAGCTTTTCCATTGCAATTAATTGTACTAAATAAAAGTTCTGGCATTTATAAGGATTCAGTGAAAGGCATCAGCTTTTTATGACTCTGATGTTTACTTCTCAGCCCCTCCATGCTTGAATTGTGCTTTACATGCATTTAAGAACCTTGGAGTAAGTTTTGAGTGTGGCTACACAGGCCACACTGGACTTGTTAATAAATAAGACAGTCTAATTTATGTCATTCATTATTTAATACAGCTTGCAAGCTCTTGTTGAAAACCTGCTGTCTTCATAGGGAAGATATTTTCAGAATTCAGCTCAGCACAACCATTTTGAAGTCTGAGTTTCATACCTTCCATCTCTGCATTATGGAGGTTTTTATTATATTGGGTCAAACAACTGAAAAGCCCCATGACCCTTCTGACCCTACTTTCTTCCACCTCCCCCTCTCTCTCTCATAGACTATCCAGGAAAATGTATTTGATTTTTTTTTCCTTCTCCGAAAAGTGATATTTCCTTATGGGAATTCAGAGCATTGGCGTTAAGAGAAAAGCCTGGCTTATATGTTATTATAAACAAGTAATGGGAAGTTACAATAGTGTGGTCACAGCTCCCCAGTACTGAGATTAGCTTTGTTTTAGATCTGCCACTGTTTTTCTCCCATAGACCTCTGTTTGTGTCTGTTTCAGTACTCCCCTGTAAAGACATTTTCTCAGCTGAAAAGTTGGCGGAACAGCTGAGAGTTGAGGTCTCTTTCTCCCTGGGAACATTCTGTATGATCTCTTTGACTATATCTAGGTCGTAGGAGCATAAAACCTAGAGTTTTTGTTTAGCTGGGAAAGGAAATAGAATTTCTTTTTTTCCCTTTTTCTTTTTCTTTCTTTCTTTTTTTGCCTTTAGTACTAAGCGAGTGCCTCTACTTTTAACTCATTGCTCACCTCGCCTGTAGAGAAAGAAACATTTGCAAACCATGATAAAATATTATATACTGGTGTTATTCATAGACTAGCTTTACCACTTCTCAGGAGAGTTTCTGATAGGGTAAATAGCTATATGGTAAAATGTGGCATTGAACCTGCTGCCCTTTGGAGCAGTGCCAAATCTTTGTTCCTCTTGATATCTATAAATCAATAGAATGACTATTTTTGTGGGAGAGATTATTTAGGCAGCACAGACTTTTTACTTGTTTGATGTATGAGAGAAAAGAAGAGAGTAAAACTCAACTTTGGATTATTAACATCTGATTAATCATTTTCATGAACTCCTTGGTCTAGTGAGTTCAAAACACAAATCCTGCCACCCAGGTGGCAGAGATCAGAACCCCACAGTGGCCTGATAATTTTAGCTCTCCATTTGTTTGCTGATTGATTTCCATTAAGAAAGGCAATGATCCCACATGGTCAGGTGTCTTCTCACCACTTACTTTGCTCTCTGGGATGCCCAAAGGTCTGAGAAGTCATAAATATTGATCTGGGAGATGAAGGAGTGAATGGTTGTGAAGGATATAAATCTAGGAAGAAATGTGATGCATAGGTATGAAGTTTACATGTTTCACAAAACCCTGGATGAGATAGAAAACTGGAGTCA